GGAACCAGGTCATGTAGGTCATATGCGCGACAGATGACATATGTTTAAGTCGCTGTACTTTTTGTTGTGTCAATAAAGTTCTCTCTCTCTCTATGTTTATACATGTGGGGCTTTTGTGAGGTGTCTGTTTAAGGTCCGCTTTGTTACAAAGGCAACGTCGCACTGGTCACACCTAGCTGTAGGGTTTTTCTCCGGTGTGCTTTCTCATGTGCTTCGTTAGATCACACTTTTGGTTCGTCCTATAATCCACACATGTAGGGTTTTATTCCTGCGTGTTGGGCCATGTGCCTCTCTAGGTGGCTTTTTTGTATAGTGGAATAGTCACACTGGTCACAGTTGTAGGGTTTTGTAGCTAAGTGTTTTTGGCGACGCCTCAGGGGCGGAGGCATTTGTGTAAGTACTACGATCGCTTTGAAAGAATTTCAAAAATTGCATGAATGCATTCCCTAGGGAATTGGTTTTGAGGTAGCCTCCGGCCTTGTGGTCATCGGAACAAGCAGGAAAGGCTTATGTTACCATGCATGCAATAGCACCTTTTCGGGCAAACTGTGGTCTTTTTGCACACAGAATATTAATGATTGTCTTTATTGATATTTCAAATATTGTTTTCTTCTATCAAGAGAGAACTAAATTTCTTACTCAGGAGCAGCATATTCAAGTCTTATAATATTTCAAATGTGTTTTTAGTTGCAACTATATGATGCTGGTCGTTTTTTTATAACTTTACTGTGTGACACATGTAGTGTAACAGTGATGTTTTGTGTAAGGAATTTTATTCACTTGTGTGTTTTCTATCATGTATGTTTGTGTCAGTCTTGCTTTTTTATTTATTATTTTCTTCGCTTTCATGATGCTGTTGCATTCCATGCTTGTTTTTCAATTTTGGCTGCAAAACATGAATGCACACCCCAATCCTTCCACGACTAGGTTTCATGCTAAGGTTTCATGCTAGCCAGTGAACTCCTGCTGTAGTCTGCATCTCAGGGTACGGTGGACATGGCGAAGTTTACCTGTGGGTATAAAGAGAGAAAAGGGCATAAATGAAACGTATATCTGAATTAAGTTTGAATAAGTTCTTGTATTGTACTGGTAATTGTGAGTTGTTATGTATCACCTTATGGACAAAAATGGCTGTTTGAAACTTATTTATGTCATATACCGTCAAGATTTTCAAATCGTGAAATAGAACCATATCGTCATAATATTATAATTGTAATAAAAAGTTTAAGAGTATTTTATTTCAGTATAGCCTGGCAGTTAGACCATCGTAGACTGCCTGGTATCCGTACGGTGCGTTGGGTACTGCCCGCCCGCTCAAATCAATTAGTGCATGCCAGGGTGTTTACGGGGTTGGTTTTGTTTGCCTACATGATGACAATAACTAGAAAGGTCAACTGGAAAGATTCATAGCTAGTATGTCAAAAGAGCTTTATGTCTAGTATGGCTGGGGCCTGTAGAACAACCCTTAGAAAGCCAAATATGTATCTATCTGTTAGAACGCCGTGGTTAGAATTGCTTTGCTGTAGGTGGAACGTGTGTCAGAACTAGCATGACCTACGAATTCGGACACTATTCAAGCTCATGAATAGGTGAAATCTCTAACCTAACAAAAGCAGTGAGTATCAGACAAACATTTGGGAGGGTACACAAAATGTTTTAAGTTGAATGATGTTAAGTTGTCATGAAACAGGTATTTGACACTTTTGTAAGAAAGAAAGTGAAAGTACACACGTAGCCTGTGTAGGTCAAAATATACTCTTACTACTACAGGAATGGTCAGGGACAGGCAAGCCTAGTCAACCTCGGGTACAATTTCTGGATAAAGATATGGCTTTATATAAATTTTTCTAAGACCGCTGATAGTATCGACTTTCTAGCGAACATAAAACATGTAGTTAAGAATTCTTCAATGTAATAGAATATTTCACAAATCACAACCAAATTGTACTTTCTCAAAAAAGACGTAAAGAATTTT